CATTAAGCTTCAGAGGTATAAATTTAATGCTTCTGCTTCAGTGAAGTTATCACTATAGAAAAATCATAGTATTGTCAGTGCCTCATGGTTAATGAAACAGTTTATCTTAGACTATTCCATAAAAACAGACATTAAAATATGTCAGTTCATCTGACAAACAGAAAAAGGAAATCAAATGTCTAAATATCTGCTGATGAAACAGGTCAGCCTTTATTATAATGAACAAAAAACCTTAAGGGGGGGTATTTTCACAGATTTCCCATATCTACAGCAAGTTTTAAGTATTCCCTTCTGTGTTCTATTTTCAAAGTATAATTAGAACCAAACTGCATAACTTAATATACTCAGTGGCTTACTGCCATCATTAAAGTGCTAGCTTGCTTGATTAAGGGTTGATGATCTTGATTTGCTTGAGTTGTTCCTATTCATTGACTATGAACAGAGAAGTCCAGTTAGCCTTTTTGGGATTAGTGAAGCAGCTTTCTGACACAGCACACCAGTAGCTGCCACAGGGACCATTCCTGCTTGTAAGCTGCCAGTTTGTAAGAAGAGCTATTCCTGAGTAAGGGACTTAGGTAGTGAATTCTTCTACGTGGTTGCATAGGAATATTATTTTTTTTCCATCTGCAATAATTGCCAGTTCAAAACAGAATTCAAAACAGGCTTTCATTTCAACATCTTTTTGCATGCATGCTTTCAGAGCTTACTTTGCAGAGGTTGAGCTGAATTGCATTGTACCTTTATTATTCTTGTCAGTCTTCAACAACTGGTGGTTTTGCAGCACCAGCATATTGATACAACTGCCATGGCTGTGAAAATAAACAAAGCGACCCAAGTATTACTGAGCTGCCTGTCTGAGGTCTAAGTGTTATTTCCAGTCAGTTGTGGGCCAATGCCTTAATCCTTTTTAATAAAGTTTTATTAAAAATAAATAAAAAAATAAATTTTATTTAATAAAAATACTGTTGCAATTGGTAGACACTGGCACGTAGCCATTGGATTTCTACAATCAGTCTTCATAGAAACCACAAACCATTGTCTAATGGATAGGGCATTAAGCAATACATAATATTTCACTTTTCTTCAGATACAAGAAAGAGGAAAGTAGATTCTCATGCAGGAGAGATGGCAGTACGGGTATCCATTTAGCTCAGCATGAAGGGATAGGCAAACTGAGTGACCAGACCTCCTTTTAATTTGCACTAAAGGAGACAGCTCACAGCTGCTGTCCTCACTGGTGACAGGGACATGTAGGCCTGTGTCATGAAGGCAGGAAGCAGCATTTCTTAAGGACATACAGAGACTCGTGAATGGAAAAAGCAAGGGGACTTTCCCCTAGCCCCTTCCCATGTCCTCAGGACTATAAAGCAAAGATTTAAAAGTAAGGTAATCCTTAGCAAGTATTACTTGAATTTGTTTGTCATAAGACTGGCCTTGTTCTACTTTACTGTGTTCTGTTCAACTGCTGCAGGTTGCTCATCCTCAGCTTTAACTAAAAGTCTGGCTACTTTAAAGTACCGAACCCGTTTCTTCCAAGATGAATTTTGTACTTAATAGTTCATTAGATGTCCTTACCATGAGGATTTGCTGGACCTTTAGCACAAGTATCAGACCTCACAGAATTTTAAGTACAGTGTCTTTTCTGTTTTTCTGCTGGGGAATTCAATTCTTTTAATATTTACTATAAAATGTGTAAGGGATGGATATATTTAGTGTACTTTTTAGATGAAGGTGAACTTTGTGAAAGCAATATAGTAATGATCTTAATTACAATAATTTAAGTTCATACAGAGTAAAAGGAGAAAACCTCAAAACCATTGTCAGTAGATTTGCATGCCGATCTTGTTAGCAGAGAATTTGCCTAGAAAACCTTGGTTTCCTTGTCTTATTCAAATGTATACGTTCTTATAAGCATGTATCACAAAATATAATAGCAAGGGGGATGACACAGAAGCCTATGTACTGTACTTGGAACACTAATGCCCCAACCCTCCAAGTGTAGATTTGGATGCTATTGATTTAAACCAAAATGCTACGTGAATGTTAGAGCATATGTAATCAATAAGCAAATAGAAATATGCATTTTGTGCTTTTATGCACATATTGCAGTGCCCTTAGCTTTAAGGTTTCCGCTCCTGTCTTTTCCTTTCCTGGTATATTCTCCCTCAGCAGGTAATACTGGTGTATACAATTTTAGGTTAGGTTCAGTTCTGTATCAGTTAATGTTACTGGAAAAGGATGTGTTTTTCTTTCTTTTTTTTTTTTTTTTTTTTTTACAGCATACCTTCAAGGAATATATAGTTATTAATTCATAGTCCAGGATAAGTGCTAATAGTCTTGCATATCACATGCTAAATAACCAGTTGAAAAATGCTATTTTAAAGGTTCTAGTAGGTAAGCTTGCTTTTTTTCAGCAGCTAATCACCAGGGGAATTCCAAGGAAGAGCCAGCAATCTAGAGACTTGAAAAACAAAATCTCTAAGCATTTTATTTACTGTATGCATCCTATTTACTATAGGAAAACTTTGGGGATATATGAGCTTGTAAGTATAAGCCTTTCTTTGTAAATACTTCCAAGAAAGTGCAGAAGAGGATCTGCACTAGAGAAGCCAGAGGGAAACCCAGGATACATTAAGTGTATTTTTGCTCTTACTGCTTAGTACAATTTCTGTTTCTTGCAGGTTTTCAATGTTCACAGTTATGACCTTGAAACTAAGTATTTTAAGAATTTATCTGACTAACCACAAACTTTACTTGGTCAAGCCAGAAAGTTCCCCGTTCCCTTCAGCATTTGACATCTCAGTCACCTCAGACTGACCCAATTGTTAAAGTACCCGACACTCAAAGGTTCTTTTTGATTATAATTTCATTTTGTGCTTTATTTCTAACACAGGAAATATAGTCAGGCACCCTACTGACACACATTTCTCCTGAAGTGAGTCTTTATGAGAAAAAACGTTACTTAATTGACTTAGGTATATCTTTGGTGGAGGAAGAAGGGAAAGGAAATAAGTGGCTCATTCAACTGATCCTAGAATGCAGCATGACCTGAAGTTTTCACAGTATGCAGCATGACCTGAAGCTTTAAACTGATGCACTGTTTCTGGGCAAAAGTAGTTGCTGTGAACTTGGAAGGCTTTTTTCCCTTGCCTGTTTTGAATACTATTTTATTTGCGGAGCTTCAAATTTAAGTAGAATATTGTTGTTTTGGCACACCAATAATCAACAGGAACAGATTTACTTGGGGGAACATGGGTAGTCTCTGATAACAGATGAGTGCTTGTGAAATGCAAAATACAAGAGCCTGGCCTAAACCAAAGCTTGAACCATGAGAAGCTCATCGCCAGATCATTTCACTGTAAGTTGTCCTGGCCATCTTCCTTCCCAGAACATACTGTGGTATGGCGCAGTCACCCAGGCCCATCCTCTGCTCCCAGACAGTAGTTGGATCTACTGCAGCTGTAAGACATCTGTACAGAACAATGGCATTGCCTGCTATTTTACTAACACTAAATACACTTCAGCTTCCCTTTAATACTGCCTCCATACACTCGGCGTACTTAAAGAATGGTAGAAGTAGTCAAGATGGAGGTTAGCAAAACACTGGGCAGCAGCAGATAATCCTGATGGAAGATGTCTCTTGCACTAATGGAACTCAAATAATTAACCTTATTAGAGCCTCATATGTGGCAGATTTTACTCTGTTCATCCCAGCTACAGTCACACTTATAAATACTGGCATTGGCATGGCCTGACAGCTACTTCTGATGACTAGGAACTGAAGGTGACTGTGGGGCTCCAACACGAACACGTTGGAGCCTTTCATTCTTCATTTCCAAACTGCAGACTCCTAAGTAGTCTTACTCTCTCCTACAATAATCAAACATACGTAATTCCCTTAACGTAAAAGACAATAAACCAACAGCACCAACACCCTACTTTCACTTACACCCTTTTGCAGAAACAGGAATTCGCTTTTATCACCTTTAATGAGTGCCCTAAAGGGAAGTCCACTTTTTAGCTAAGCAGCTTGTGACACGTGAATTCTATTGTTTCCAATTTCTCATTCTTTACTTTCAGTTAACAAGCAAACATTTGAGAATCTAACAAATGCTCATAACCTTTTTCCCCCTGTGATCCAAACCAGAAATCCTTCAGATAGCCAAGAATGGTCTCATTCAGATTCAATCTTTGTGGAAGTATCAAATTGCACCTACCAGTAACTATGCATTTCTGATTAACTAAAATAGCATCTCAGTAAAGGCATAGTAAGCCATTCCCACTAAACATCAGCATCTACTAAGTGAATTCACTTCAGTCAAGTGGTTTCATAGGAATAGTAGCACCATGATAGACTTATGACTAGGTTAGCCCCCCTTAATTCAAAAGGAGATTTGAGTTGCACGTTGGTGAGTTTCTATAGACACAGTAGCATTTAAGCTTCAGGAGAAAACACAACCCAATGATAAATTGTCTTCAGGAACCAACACCAGCAGTCATAAAGTTGAAGTTAGAAGCTGAAATCGTGTCTTTAAAGTGACGTACATAATAATACCTACCCATCTGCTTCACCTTTGTTCCAGAGAGACAACAAATCAGATGAAAACCTTCTGTTTTCCAAAATCTGTTGGTTTGCTCATGCAATAGACACTGTAACAAACAAGGCACCCACTGGAACCTACCACAACACATTTATTTTCTGAGACGCAAATAAGTCTCCAGGATGAGCTTCAACACGCATAAGCAAGTAGATCAGTTTCTGCACACATTACTTGATGCAGTGTTTGACCGGTATTGCTAGGGAAGAGATTGGCCGATGTCTCCCAAGCCTAATTACTCAGAGGGTTACAACACAGTAATAAAGCTTTACCTCTGTGCCACACTCAGTGCTTGGTTATCAGCTCTTTACCAAAAGTTTGATCAGTTTTTTAAAAAGTTAATCTTTTGCTCCTCTCTCAGACAACTTATTCCTCTAAATAAGTTAGCAAAGAGAGACAAACCTGGTGGTTTCCAGCGGAGCAAGTCATCCAGCAGGCAGGTGCTTCATCAGCGCTGAGCACCACCACAGCCTTCGGGGTCCCAGGTTGCAGCTCTGAGGCAGGCCGTGTCGCTGAGGTGAGCTTCTCACTGAACACCCAAACAGCGTGTGGTGCAGTGAGCAACTGGGGTGCTCAGAGCCAGCCCCACTCACCCCCCACCATCCCCAGAGCCAGGGGAGGCTGCCCTGTGGGAGGGCCGCCCCTAAAGGGCCCGGCCAGCAGGAGGGGCCCTGCAGGTGGCTGACGAGGGAGGCCCAGGCCCAGCCCAGCCATCAGCCAGGAGCCAACTGCAGGCTGGTTTTTGCTTTTGTTACCTCCAATAAGTGGAGTCTGACACTGGTTTGGTACTTGCTCCCGGGCATCGCTGTTAAGAACACTACACCATTAATGTCTTGGTAGTGCTTGGGCATCTCCTGTTCAGGCTCTGTGTGGTGGTTACTGACAATGAAAGGGGAAAAACAGTATCTCACCAGTTTTGTGGAACAGATCTTACTCAAGGATAGTGTGCAGTGTTACATTTTGAGGGTTTGAGAGTGAAGATACCATGTACATTTATTTCCACAAGCAAAGCAACTCTGTATAGGACAAATTCATAGAGGTCCTTTTCTACAAATGCCAAATAGAAAGAAGCACCTTGCTTATATTGGTAGTGAGTGTCCTCCCATTCAAGTGTATGCTTTCATGTTTACAGTACAGTGTGTACATGTGTATGAAAACACAGGATGTTGCATGGTGTAAAATCATCCAGTACTCAAATGATTTGAACACTACCAGCAGAAAAGTTAGGTGAGATAAGTCTAAAGCTGCACGTGGTGCTAAACAAGTTGTACAATGGAGGTGGGATATTTATTAGCTCTGAAGTAAACCATTACATCCAGCTAAAAATGCACGACTTTCTAGACTAAAACAGACTGCCATGACCAGGAGACTGGTCATCTGTCTGCAAAGTGCACGGGCTCACGTTTGAGGGATTTTGTCATTGAACAGCAGGAGGTGAAGGGTGGTTCCCGGGACAGACTCCTGGAGCAACCTGTGATGGATTGACCTTGGCCACCTGCCTAGTGCCCACCCAGCTGCTTTCTTAAACACCTTTTCACAGAGGTGCCCGTGTCTTGGCTGTGCGGCTCAGCTGTGTCCTGCCGTGGGTCGCTGGGAAGCTACCATGGGGCAGCCCAGACCTTGTGCCACAGAGGCCACCCCTGCAGCCCCACCACCAAAACCTGGTCATGGACAACATGCTTTCATTTTTAGATTGTGTTGTGTGCAGAAATGTTTAAAACATAGGCTGAATTCCCGAAGAATTCTCTGCTATAGCTCTCTCAACACAATGTCTGCATATGCCGACATTCTGGTACTGAAAATAATCATCTTCACACTCAGAATCTCAAACTGTGTTGAAGACAAACTGGGATGTTTATTTAAAGCAGCTGCCTACATAAAAGAATCCCAAATCTTTGCTTTGCAGAATCTGTCCACTTGTAGGATAAGACTCTTAACATGAGTTTATCTATGCGTTAGGGGGCAATAGATCCTGGATTTCTAGTTTAGCTTTAGGTCCTATTCTAAACTGTAAATCAGGGGATAAGTCTTTATAAAACCTTACAACTATTTCCCTCAAATGTGCTTTTCAAGCTATTGTAACATTTAACAATATTAACTGGCAATTCTGTAAGAAACCTAAAGAAAGCAAGTATCGATTATGGTAATTTATCTGACAGTGGTCAGATCTCCTGGGAGCATGAACCAGCTTCCAGCCCACAGTAAATACCAGAACTGATGTTTTCTAAAAAGGATTCCTTAAAGAAGCTCCAAGATTCCTTCATCCTTGGCCTAGAAGCAGCTCCTAGACTGCATACTTTGTACCTGTGTATGGGAGGTACAAACATGCCTACCCTGCATTGCTCTCTCCTTTGACATACAAGTCATCAAACACCGTGCGTCTGACGGAGAGAAAGGGAAGCCTTGCTCCCTGTCATTTTTTTTCCTTTTGGGATACCATCTAAGCAAACATTTCCTTAGAATGAAAATCTTAACCCTCGGTTTGTAAAGGCTCATCGTAACAGCTCACATATTTGAAGGAATATGTTGAGCACAGAAAGTCTCAGACAGACTCCCAGTACTGACTGCTCAGTGTTTCATGCCACTGAAGCACAAAGCAGGGACACAGAGAGCCCAACAAGCCAACACTGAGAGGGTCTCAAGGCTGTGGTAGGACACTTAGCTTTGTTTTGAGGAAGTGCTCTCAGTGACACCCTCCCCACCAGAACACTTTTAGAGAACAAAGTACTCATAGATGAGCTGCAGACAGAATGTGCTGGATGCACAGATGTGCATAAAAGGAACAGACAAATTGTTTGTACCTGAGATTCTGCCTAATTAGTCTGGGGTTCCTAAGCACATAGAAGAAACAGTGGGAAAAAAAGATGGCCTTCATATACAAACACCAAATAGTAAGAAACATTGATTATGTTCTGTGTAGAGGTGATGTGATGGATTCTCATCGCGGATTCTACACAGCCTTTTCTTTGGAACCCGGCTAACATACAGTGCCAGCATGTACGCTTCGCATGTGGCTGGGAAACAGTCAACAAGAAGGGCTTGTTTATATTCCTAAAAGCTTTAAAATAGGAATTCAAAAATGAAATGTCATCCTTGTATTTCTTGCTATTTCACATTAAAGATTATATGGAACTATGTTTGCAACTATCATCAAAGAGCATAATTGTTATTATGGTTCCCAGAGCTGAATAAGTCCATCTCCATTTAAGATTTGTGACAGACATGTTTCAATAATGTTGTTTTACAGCCTCCATGGTATGTTGCTAAACCAGCCAACCAATTCTTTCTTGATCTGCAGGTGCACTGTCAGTTCAGTTGAGTGTGTGGTAATCAGAATTGACAGAGCTTTAAAAGTATTAAAATTCTGTTGTACGTACTGGAGCTAATTTATTTGCTGTCACTCTCTTTGCAGTTTAATGTATCTTCATTATGGCCATGTCATGTTCCCTGCTTAAAGCATACTTGATCTAATCCTAGTATTTTAGGGAATAATGTGTGATTATTACACTTTTTATTATGAAAGCCCTTTGGGTATTTGTTTACCTGTATTCATTAATGCATTCCACTGTGCAGCAACACATATTGCTCCATATTAGTTTAGCCATGCAATATAATTAGATTTGTCTTGTCTCAAACATAACAGCATTTACACACACGCAGGGATACAATGAGTTTCCTAGCTACTACAGGTCTCTAGACAGGGCAGTAGCCCTGTTCCCCGCATCTTGGTGCTCCGGTATTCTCAGTCTGTCTCGGGTATTATTCTCTTTCCTAAAATTGTGCTTACTGTTTGGGTGGATTTTTGCCTCGTGTATATTGTCTTACCTGAGCATTAGCATTACTGAACTAAGAGCTCTAATATGCCAGCTTCAGTAGCACCATTTTTTCAGCTGACTAAACATAGCTCATAGGGAATAATTTGCCTAGAGATGAACACGCAGACTTTCTTTGATCTACAGCTACATATTACATTTGAAAGTCAGAAGACAAGGAATTATGTTCATGGGTAACTTTCATGCTGATCCTTTGAAATAATTCTGGCTCAGTGTTTTCCATTTACATAATTGTTGATACAGATTTTTATATGTGGAGCTTTACAGCGACAGTGGTATTCAGGCACTCTAATACATAATGGGGAAACTGAGAATAAAGGAAAGTGATGTCCTAAACCATAAAAGAACGTGTGCACAAATCTGCTTGGCTTTCAAGATTTCTAAAGATGAAATTTTGTCCAGTACTGAGCATAAACACATTTTAAAATTCTGACTTTGCTTTGTAAACAACTTGAACATTTCAGTATTTGGTTTAATTTTGCATGAAATATTTACATTGAAATAAAATCATTGAGTTAATTTAAATCAGTAGTGTCACTGCTGCTTAATGATAATTGAAATGCATTATTTACATCCAACTAGATCTTTTATTATAATTAAAGAGCCTAACATTTTGACGGGAATCTCATATTTGTTACATTTAAATAGGAAATTTCAACTACTGTATCATGTTATGGTACCTCAGTATCAATAATGAATATTGATTGCATATAAATAACTACACAGAACAGCTTCATGACAAATGACTGCTTTTCATAAAATAATAGAGAAAATGCTAAATACAGTTTCATATGTTAAAGCATTATGGATTTTATTATTTTTTTCTGAATGTAATCTTTCCCCAACAAAACTTTTGGTTGAAATCTGAATATACATTTTTTTTGAATTTATTCATTTGAAATAGCATTTCTGGTGAAAATTTTTCTGACTATCCTTGCATCATTCACTTCCACTGAAATCTCTTCATTTTTAAGCTTTTCAGAAGGCAAAAGGCTTTGAAACCCTTTCTCTCTTCTCTCACAGATGTGCAATGGTTTAGAGCAGCCAAGGAAACAACAGCGTTCTGACCTCAACGGCCCAGCTGATAATAATAATACGCCCGAGGTAGGTGCCTTAGGCCATCCTGCCACCTATCTTCCTGTCCTCAGGCTACCGTGAGGAACAGCAGGGATTGAATTGTCAGCTTTCTCCCTCTCATGCACACGTATCTAGAGTCTGTTTCTAGAGCCTGTTTCTTTTCCTGAACTGATGATAAATTCCTTGACTGTGTATTCTGAAAAGTCCGTGAACCATAGCCATGAATCAGTTGCTGCCATATTCATTCTGTGTAACTGTCCACAGCATGTACTCAAGCCTAAAATTTTCTGATGACATAAAGAAGATGGAGAACATTTCAGAAATTCTATTTTTGGATTATTGGAGAGCAAAAGCAGCATGAAAAAGAAATTGGCTTCTGCTTGTTTTCTTTCTCTCCAAAACGTCAGTCTTTGAAACCAAAGGACTGCTTAATTTTCAGGGTTCTCTTTAAATAATCCCTAATATCAAGCACCTCATTCAGTGCCGAGAGCTCAAATGATTCACAGCTTTTTGAATGCCCTCTGTGGTAAGATGTTTCCCTGCTCAGTCAGCTGTGAAAAAGACGCAGTGATAGGCAGACCTGCTCTTGTCACTGAAGACTGGAGCACAGACGACATCTAAGAATGCAGAAGGAGGTTATGCTCGAGGCTAGACACAATGAAATGGAATTCAGACTTAAAAGCAGAAGTCTGTTATCTCACAAACATACAACAAATTTAGCCTGTAGCCTGTTCCGTTAATGAGGAGGCACATTTCTGAA